ACTGATATGGAGAATAGAGTAAACTTTCCATATCATTGTCAAATTAAAAAAAGTTGGAGTTTCCTCGATAAGCTAAGATTTAAAAAAATATCGTGATGCTTTAGTTCAGACAGTGTTTTTTATAGTCTTACCGTCGGTTTATCAAAGTATTAATGACTTAAATGTTGATTTTTAAACGTAAAATATATTGTAAACATTCTTTTGAGAGGGCTTTTATGTGATCGATCAAGCAATATGATACTGCTCTTGTGCCTGTACTTTGAATGGTCCATCATTTTCAAGAAAACTATAAGTATTTAAGATTGAACAGAAAACCGCAAAAAGAGAGCGGAGAGGACTTTATTGCTAGGTTTTCAAAAGATGCGTTGAAAATTGGAGCACCACGCCAACAGCCTCATATGGCTGAGTATAATTACAAAGCTCCAGATTTTTTGCTGATATTTTAATTTAACACACAGAAACGTTTGCAGTTTCTTTTTCTTCTTTTTTTACACAAATCTAGATGAATTCATGCTATTTCCATCATTCAGATAACAGCCTGATTTCACACACAGGAAAAAACCACACTCATTAGTTTCCACATGAAAATACAAAACACCTCCGCATATTTTACAAGTCATTAATGAAGTTGGGGTTTGACATCTTTTTTGTAAGTTTTTTCCTATTTCAATACCAAAAGTGTATTTAGTATCAAAAATTGCCAAAATATCGATGATGCATGTCAGCAATAAGAATCAGAGAAGAGCATATTACAGTCTGCCTAAGAATCTGTTTCCCTCATTTCTAACTACTTCAGTTACTCGACTAATTCATACTGGAATCGTGTCTCAACGTATTCCTGTTCCATTATCTTGAAGGGTTAACTGTCTGTTTAATAAATTGTATTCTCATTTCCTGAGTTAAAGTCAGGAGGCAACTACTCACTTTGAAAACTTAATCTTGCGATATTCTGCCTGGATTATGAAAAAAGAACATTAAAGGAAGGGATATAAGTTTTCTAATGTAGTGAATTGAAGGGTTCTCACCAGTTTTATAGGACTCACATATTAGACTTGTAGTCTGCGCATTATTGAAGTTTTATTGAATCGTGAATATTTTTGGATTTGAAGTTCTTCTGTACAATAAATCTGACCAATGTTTATAAATATGTTGAATGAATTTATTCTAAACCTCTTTCTTCAATTGGTATATCAACGGTGTAAGTCAGCAATCACATAACTCGGTTTGCGACGTCGCAGATTTCCTGTCATACTTTATTTTTAAAACGGAAAAATACACGGCGGCAATTCTTTAAAACTGACTTCTCTTCTATATGCGAAGAAAATTCTGCAAAAACTTCAAGAAATGATGTCAATTAGTTCTCCTTCAAAAAAATAGCAAAGAGGCGGAGATTTTCAGGCACCGCAAACGAGTTATGTGATTGCAGACTTACACCGTCGATATGTATGTCGCGGGCTAGCAGTTAAGTCAAGCGTTTTGTCAAATGCCCCGTCAGATATGCAATAATTTTAGTTTCACGTGATTGAAATTCTGAGACTTTTCCAGATTTTCGACTAGGAATAGTCTGAAATATTACAATCTATAATATAAAATCACAAGAGTCACGAGGCGAGGCTCAACGCGTTTACGGGCTGTGACTGCAAAAGGGTTACGGTCGTAGAGCGCACACTCTAGTGTAAATACAATTTCTTTGTTAAATGTTTATGAAAAACTTGGTAGATTTTCAAAAACTTTGTACTCAGGTATTTGACAAAATTCTGGATTATACTGATAGCCTATGCGATGTGTATTACAGATTACACCCTATCTTTTTCTTATATCCTATATCGAGATTTATTGTCATGGGAACGGAGTTCCCCATGATATTACAATCGTTCCGTTGCTATCGCTATGGGATTCCCTATGCCTCTGCGACCTTGAGCGTTTCGCCCAGTCTTCGATTTTTGGTTGATTTTCCGATGTATCAAAAACCGTTGTATTTTTTAGCCAATCATGTCTCTACGTCAAGTTGTGTTGATTTCTAAAATTCGCTTTCAGCGAGTTTTTTTCCACCTTGAGATGTCGTGTCTGACTGGTAAATCTGCGCAGAACCACGAAGTTCCGATTTTGGGCAAATTCAATTTTTTTTGAGAGGTTCCGATTGGTTATTTTTCGCCATCAGTTTTCTGTTCTTTGGTGCAAAAGATCGCCTACCTCGTTGCTCTTGAGAAGCCGCCATTATCCCACCTCAAATTTTAAACATAGATATAAAGAAATAATAACCATCGTACAAGGTTGAAAATTGCTCTGGAGGACCCGTTACGGATATATGAGCCAAAATCAGAACTCGATTGATGGATTTAATCCATGAATACAGAAATATTGCCTCAGCTTACTGCCGCGATAGCAAATGCATGCTGAGATGAACCTTGAGACACATGATAGCATAGGCCGTTCTCTTATCACGGCCGGCAGTGGCCGCACCGCCGAAACCTCAAGGTCTTCTTTTGTGAAGCCCCGCTCAGCGTCCGAGATCCCTTAACAGTTCTTTTTTCTCCCGGTGTTTAGACAGTGCCGAGATAGCTCAGTTGTCTACAACACCGCTCTAGCGCATGGGACATGTCCCTTTTGGTGCGAGCGGGGGTTCGAATCTCGTAGGGGACAATTAATTTTTCCTGGTTGTATTGAATGTTTTAGACCAATCATCTAACAATAATTAATACTTGGCAACTTAGGAAGCACATAGTTCCCTTATGATGCGTATTCGGGCATAAGTGTAGAGTAAAAATATCATACGTAGGGTGTCCCAAAAGTATACCGGGACTGGTTCTGTGACTTCAAAAGCACAGATACAGGCATGATTTTGGTCTCATTTTAAAGATCAACTCAATAGGTACCTATCGATTAAAACCAAGATCAGCTCAATCGAATAAAAATTGACCGAGTTATGACAATTTGAAATTCGCGAGGAAAGTTTACCCCTACGGTTTTTAGGAAGATTTTTCGCTTACCAGGATTCAAAAAGTTAATATTTGTATCCACTTTCCTCCGAATCTTCCATAACTTCCTTTTGCTTTTCAAAGAACCGTCCATCAAACCGGATGCACTTTTTCATGTGCTCTTGCCACTTATCCAACATTGTTTTCCTGAATTCTTCCTCTGGGATGGAGTTGAAGAAGTTTTGAATTGCATTCTGGATTTCGGTCTTCGATACGAATCTTCGTCCGCGAAGCTCCTTTTTAAGCGTAGGAAACATCCAAAAATCACATGGAGCCAAGTCAGGGCTATAAGGGGGATAAGGGATTGTTTCAACTCCATTTTTACTCATAAATTCACGTGTTAAGCTCGATGTGTGAGGCCGCGCATTGTCTTGATGGAGTATCCACGAAGCTTTCAAGTCCGACCGTTTCCGGGAAATGTGCATTCTCAATTCCTTTAGTACTTTGCAATAATACGCACTGTCAACTGTTGTGTTTGATGGTACAAAATGTTGATAAATGACACCTCGAAAATAAAAAAACACAATAAGCATCACTTTATCGGCCGACTTTTCGATTTACGGCGATGAAGAATCTTCCTTAAAAACCGTAGGCGTAAACTTTCCTCGCTGATTTCAAATTGCCATAACTCGGTCAATTTTTATCCGATTGAGCTGATCTTGGTTTTAATCGATAGGTATTGAGTTGATCTTTAAAATGAGATCAAGATCATGTCTGTATCTATCTTACTTTCGAAGTTACAGAACAAGTCCCGGTACTTTTGGGGCACCTTACGTATACTTTACGCCGAGAAAGCGAACTGAAACTTAAATGCGTTAACTTCCGAAAACCATATATAATCCAACGAAAATAAATAATTGGTACATAACAGCTTTCTTGTATGCAAAGAAAATAATTAAAAATGATAAAAAAGAGATGTCAACACAAAATTACATAGCCCCTTCAAATCAGAAGATACTTCAAACGAACTGTACCTTAACATTTTCATATCCCAGAAGCTAACGTTCCCATGACGAATATTGCTATCGCTAGCGATTGCAAAATCCAACTTGTTTCATTTCATCTTTAATTTAAAATTTTGAAACGGAATGAACGATAACAAAATATGAGGGTGTTTAGCGTGTGTAACACGTGTTGATGCAATGAAAACTTCAAAGAAGAAAACTCTCTAATTACACGAAAAAAAGGGGAGAAAAATACATTGCTGGGAAAATTTCAAATAATGACTCTGAGTTTGTCTTGATGTAGACGTGGACTCTCAGGATAGCGTGGTGTATCCCCTCCATTCTGGTGTCAACTTGAGAGCTTTTTTTGAGCTTGGGAGTTGATTTCAGGGAAAACCAGTGGCATCATAGTGTTTCTCGCGAACTTTTACATGAGAATCAATTGCCAAATCGCAAATTCCTCACACATGCAACATCTCCATCAGCACTCATACGAATCAAAAACCTACCACAAGAAACCCGTTCCGTCAGGTTACTAAATGGAGATGTTGCATGTGTGAGGGATTTCTGATTTGACCGTTAATTTTTACGTATAAGTTCGCGAGAAACACGATGGTGCCACTGGTTTTCTCTGAAATCATCTCCCAAGCTCAAAAAAAGCTCTTAAAGTGAGGCCAAACTGGAGGGGATATCCCACCCTACCCTGAGAGTCCACCTCTACATCAAAACAAACTCTCCATGCAAAGATAGGGAGCAAATACATTGATAGGGCTGGCTCTTTATTTGGGGACTCCAAAACTGAAAACACGGCATCACTGCTAATGTATTTGCTCCCTATCTTCGCATGGAGAGATTGTCTTGATGTAGATGTGAACTCTCAGGATAGCGTGGGATATCCCCTCCATTTTGGCCTCACTTTGAGAGCTTTTTTTGAGCTTTGGAGCTGATTTCAGAGAAAACCAGTGGCACCATCGTGTTTCTCGCGAACTTTCACATGAGAATCAACAGTCAAATCGCAAATTCCTCACACATGCAACATCTCCATTGTCAAATCGCAAATTCCTCACGCGTGCAACATTTCCATTAGTACTTATACGAATCAAAAATCTATCACAAAAAACCTGTTCCGTCAGGTTACTCAATTGACTTTTTAGGCTATGCTTATGTTTTGAACCAATCGATATGAATACAATCCTACCCGTTCACTGTATCAAATGGATTACATTTTGCAATTTGGAACTATAAATTCTAGGCCGGTTTAAAACGACGTATGTGCCATTAGTTTCCCTTTGCACGTAAGTGTTTTTCCAGAAGAGCCAGAAGTTATAGTTCTACATTGCAAAATGCAGTCCAAATATCATCTATAGGCTGTTTCTGAGAGGTATATTTCGACGCACTGAAAGTTCTAGCTTGAATCCAACCAAGGCGCCCACCAGCCTCCCCATAGCTCAGGTTCGGCAGCCGGATCGAACCCATGGTCCTGCTCTTTGACCAACCGCGCGGCGTGGCTCTCATAAAGCTCCTTCAGTTCGTCGACCACCGAGGGATGCTGATTGGCCACATCGTGGAACTCGCACGGGTCCTGTTGGATGTTGAAGAGGCAGGGTTTCTCAGTGCAGGGATCCGGGCCGGGAAACGGAGTGGATTCCGAAGTCGCAATTCGGTTCGCGCAAAGTGTGGTCCTCGTCATGTCCAGATCTGCTCGGCGCATTTCGTATTCCCTCAGGAGAGCGCCGAGGGGTTGGTTGCGTCGCAGAGCCTTGGAGACGGGACTGTTCGCGACGAGATTTAGGGTATCCCTTTTGTCGAAGCGCCCGCTCTCGCCGTCGAAGAGTTGAGTGTGGTTCAAAGGAGCGATGGAGTTCACTGGAAATAAAGGGAGGATTGTAAAGTTCGACTGAAGGTATTGTTGATACAGCGAAAAAAAGAGATGCTGATTTAACATTCTGGATGTAGGAAAGTGTGCGACAACTCACAAAACGTTGAATGGGTCAGTTACGCTGGTCACAGAAGCGTATTTTGATCAGGGTGGCAAAATTTCGTGAAAAATAAAATCTTGAAATTTCACGTGAAATATTTAATGAAATTTCAGAAATTTATGAAAGACTAGCGACCCGTACGTGCTTCGCACGTATGAAACATACAATCAGAGAAAACAGAATTCATCTCACAATAATCAATAATCAGTAGGACATGAATCGTTGCGATGTATTATACGACATTATAATGCGGCATTTCTATTATGATGCATTATACTGGATTATAGGCATTATAAATCATTATTACCACGTGGGAATGAAATGTTGCAGAATGAATTGAAAATCATGTTGGCAAAATTTATTACAAAAATAGTATAACATGTAGGTACATAACATAAAGGTAATACAAATTAAATGATTAGAGCGTGTATATTTT